AGCCAATTGGACCTCAGACGCACTAAGTCATAGGGGTGCAGGTGGGACGCTTCAGCTCCTACGCCTTGGTCGGACGACCAGGCAAGGTGACGCGCGATTGTTTCTAGCTTAGAAAGGTCAAAACGGGCGATTGGTGTTCACCACGTATCCATACAGAGTGATGGTGGTGTCATCATGCAGGAATGACTTGGAATGGAGGAATGCAACACGTGAGAAGGCACTGATATCTGTTCATGTTTGATCATGAATCACACACGAAAGGGTCATATGATGCCTTGAATTGAGATAACAGCAGGCGTTTGAAAGTGCGCAAAACCGCGTTTTGGGTCACAAAATAAGGCAGAACCAGCGGATTGGACGTCAGTGACCAATGGGTGTTGGGTTGATCACATTCATCCACAGTTGTATTTGACAAGAAACCATAGCACGTGAGTGATTGAATGCAGTGGCTTTGATATCGATACTAATGAGTTTATCTGCAAAAGTTTACGATAATGTCACCTACATTAAAACACGAAAATATTCATATTTATGTATATCATTTAGTTGCCTAATTTTTTGCAGAAACCATGTCTTCTGGAAAAAGCGGTCCTACTAGGAAAATTTTCTGCTATGGGGCTTGACCAATTTTGCCGATAAAAATGAGAAGCTGCAATGTGTTTTGTGCTGCAAAGTGCTCACGGGAGAGAGCATGAAACCCAGCAAACTGAAAGACCATTTCGACCGGTCATTCTCAGTTTGTAGGAAAAGATATTACATTCTTCAAACGGAAAGAAGCTGCGCTCAAAAGTTCGCGCCTGGATACATATACAAGAGTTTCCAGAGTTGTGCAATGCATTTGGAGGCAAAATCGACGTGTCGTTATTGCACACGGAAGTGCGTTGGTTATCACGAGGCAAAGTGTTGCACCGAGTGTTTGAGTCTCAAGAAGAAATTGCAATGTTTCTTGGAAGGAAGGAGCAGCATAAGAGTAAGGTGAACGGGTTACATGTCATGATAACAGACAACGTATTTATTTGTAAGTAGTAGGGGATTTGTTAGGTTCTTGTGTCGATTCATCGCAGTTAGACAGGCAGACAGTGACCACACATCCAGGAAAGCGCTAGACGGCCGTTTCGTTTTATCGGGACTCGTCAGTAGCGCACCCGCCGAATCCTGCCAGATTCGAACCCACGACCTTACTCTTGCGAGTCAGCGACTTATGTCACTGAGCCATGGACGACGGCAGCGGACCACCATGACTGATATCTAGCTGCAATATAGCGCGGCTCATCCTCCACTGTTTTGCATGTTATGCATGTGCAGAGGACAGGGATGGCCCCCAGAGCAACGACTTCCTTTGCCAGCCGCCACCAATCGAGGTGGCAAATGAGCTGCTAAGGCGACTACTGATTATGTGTCAGTAGTAGGGGGATTATTAGGTTTTGGCATAGATTCGTCGCAGTTAGACACAAGCAGAAAGCCACTACACATCCAGGAAGGCGCTAGACGACCGTTTCGTCATATTGGGACTCGTCAGTAGCGGGCACCCGCCGAATCCTGCCAGATTCGGATCATCCTCCACTGTCTTGCATGTCATAAATGTGCAGAGGACAGGGCTGGCCCCCAGAACAACGACTTCCCTTGTGTCTAACTGCGACGAATCTACACAAAAACCTAATAAATCCCCCACTACTTACAAATAATCAGTAGTCGCCTTAGCAGCTTACATGCCACCTCGATTGGTGGCGGCTTGCAAAGGAAGTCGTTGCTCTGGGGGCCAGCCCAGTCCTCTGCACATCTATAACATGCAAGACAGTGGAGGATGAGCCGCGCTATATCGCAGTTAGATATCAGTCATGGCGGTCCGCTGCCGTCGCCCATGGCTCAGTGACATAAGTAGCTGACTCGCAAGAGTAAGGTCGTGGGTTCGAATCTGGCAGGATTCGGCGGGTGAGCGCTACTGACGAGTCCCAATAGGACGAAACGGTCGTCCAACGCTTTCCTAGATGTGTGGTGGCTGTCTGCCAGTGTCTAACTGCCACGAATCTACACAAAAAGACAACGTATCTATTTCCAAAGTAGCATATCTTGCAGATTTATTCGAATAAATAAAGGCACTGAACCTCAGCTTGCTAGCAGATATGGTTAATATTTTAACCGCTCAGGATAAGGCTGCCAGTTTGCTTCGTAAAATGCAGCTTCACCAACTCAGAGCAACAGTTGACGATGAGTCGATGTTTCCAGAACTATCACTGGTGCTCGCTGGAAGAGCTGAAACATGCGATTTCACAGATGATATAACTTGCCACTTGTCATTAGTGGTCCATTCCATCATCAAATATTTTCCTGATCTGGAAAATCGACAAATAAATGTTTGGATGCTAAGACCCTTTTCAGTGGATGAGAAAATCTTTCCGGATACTGCCATCGAAGCCATAGCCCAATTCATAGGAATGCGCGAAGATAACGAATTAAAAATACATTTCCGAAGCACACCACCGGTAGCATTTTGAATAAAGATAGGTGGTGAGTATCCATTACTATCGGAAAGAGCACTGAGAATATTGATCACATTTGCAACAACTTATAGATGTGAAAGTGGATTTTCGACAATGGTTTCAATGAAAACAAGAGCAAAGAGTCGAATGAACCTGGAGCACGACTTCCGATGTGTATTAGCAGAAACTGAACCAAATATGCCAGAAATCGTTAGCACGAAGCAATATCAACCATCCCATTGATGTAGATCGCTGCTTGATTACATACAATGTTGTACCAAACAACTGTTTTCTTTCTGTTATTGATCCAGAGTTATCCCAAATAGCTATCAGTTCACGTACTTAGAAGTGAACACCGCGATAGTTATGCGTTAGCGTTTGAAACGGAAATTGGAGGGGGGTTGATTATAGCAAACCCCATTTGTGACAGCCTCAAAAATGTTAAGAATCACCGGTGTACAGCAACATGCGTTGAGGATAAGTGTGATATTGCTTCTAACAGCACCATCAAAGTCGCGTTCAGAACATCAGCAAGAATACTTTGAATGCGGTACTTAACAAAAGAAACGCGTGGATTTTCTTCGCACTACGATGGGGGTCTGGTTTATTTGCATGATCGAAAATAATTACATATGGTATTCATTTGCCGTAATTTAAAGAAAAATGCAGTAGTTGCTAGCTAATGGGCTTTAGAAAGTTTGGAGGTAAGTGCTTAAAGTGAACCCGCTTTGGGTGTAACGGCCTCAAAAAAGTTGGGAACCACTACCATGAGGAACCGGAAGCCGACAGCCTTGTATCAAGATGAACAGAGAAGGAAGAGATGGGACAAGCCAGACGAACCCCACCTACCATGCAAACCAAACAGCCGCATCCCGCGGCGAAAGCTAGGAGACAAGAAAGGCCGGCCAGGGTACAAAGCATGACTGGATGACCGTTTGACAGCAACCGACCGCACAGGTGATAGGAATCAGTGCATGCTCATATGATTGTTGGCACAGTAATGCGTCGCGCCGGGAATCAGTTTGGACCGCATTTAGCAAGCCCTGGATGAAGTTGTTCACACGTTAGATGCACTGTATTGCCAAGCTGAAAGCTTACACGAAGAAACGACAGTCGCTCTTCTTATCAAAGTAGGAGTTCCGTGACATACTGTGCGGTTTAAAGAGCGTATCGATTTCGTACCAGATAGTTGCTTGGTCGAACGCAGGTGCAAGTTCCGCATTTCGGAAAGCAACGCCACACATCCGACCTGGGTACACGCTTTGCAGGCATCCTTTAGGAATAACGACCATCCCTCTTTAACATTTTCCACGGTCATTATGATGATCATAACAGTGAGGATGGGAACACGATAGAGCCGAACCCCCTGCACCTGACACAGGAGTTAACATTCTATCCTCTCTATGAGTGACTAGAAGTTTGAAAAATTACGGGGGTTTTATCGGTCGCAAGTGAGCGCAGTTCCGCAGCAGTAAATCTCATTTCGTACACAGAAGGCACATGCCCGGGTCTGTGGTGTTCCATTCACTGATGAACGTATAGGGGAGTAAATTCTAGGATAGCTATGCCTTCGGTAGTCTATTTGCAACACCGCCGGATTACGTAATCTCAAGTTCCAGTACTCTTGTGACGCCCTCGCTTTGGCTAGAGCGTCCCAGTCATAGCGAAGGATTCTATCCTTGTGAACTGAGCCCCACGCGCATAAGTGGCGGATCGAATCCGGATGGACGCGCGTGACTTAGTCCTACAACAGTTTCTACCTCAACACAACCAGACTGCCAAGGAAATTGCGAGAGAAGAGTAAATGACATTCATCGTCGGTAAAAATCTTACACCTCAAGCTAAAGGCGGCTCATGTCTGTATAACGTAGTATTTACAGCACGGCTGGTGCCGCAATTTGAAGATAGTCATCAAGACGGCGCAATTGCCATCTGATAGCCGTGACGTACTTGTCACCGATAAACAGTATCACATATGTATAACGCAGTTGTCACTGGGAAGATAACAGATGCAAGTATCATCTGACAACGTTGCTGCTGAAAAAGTATTACGTCATCATTTCACGGCAATAATATGGGGAAGATGTAAGTTGGAAAAAGACATTCGACGCGAAGTTTGTGCGGAACCATTTTGCAATCGAGTGCTAATGGGCGATGGATCCGAATGAATAAGAACAGCAACACCGTGTGTGGGTAGCTTTCAGTTTACTCGAAAGAAAAGGACCTAAACGCCTCCGCGAGTGCGTTACAGCCCACCGATTGTCGATGACAACATGTGTGGAAAAGCGGCGATCTTATAACTCCATGAATGACCAAGAGTGCCAATGGTTTGGATAGGCAGAAGTGTAGACATGCTAAAACGTGGGAAGGAGGAAAAAGATGTGAACAGTAACAGCCTGCGATGTCGTTCGTAGACACGTGGGTCTAAAAATGGTGGCGCGTTGATTGCAAACCAGGTGCTTGAACTATGTAAAAATGTCAAAGAGAAGGCGATGATGAGGACACGGTAAAATCACTTACACACTCCGTGTGTATACTGTTGGGTAACTCCAAGACAGGTTTCCAATACCGACCAAGAAGTGCGCGGAACGAAACCTGCACAAAGAGAGGGAGAGAGAGGAAGTAGACAAGCTGTGAGAAAAAGAAAACCCGTGATCTCGAGAGCGACCAAGTATGCTATACGGTCGTGTTGAAATGGCGCAATTATTATATGTGAGTTAGCCAACCAAATAAATGGAATGACTAAGTGGGGTAACTGTCAATCTGAGCGGCCATGAGTTACGAAGGTATGAAGAATTCGCATGGAGTCAGTGGGAACACTCCTTATGGAAACATCGTGTATTGGGTGTGATCAAGCGAATGAGTCGAAAGTGAAAATGAGATATTCTACGTTACAGTCACGGTGTGTGGCGGAATGACTGTAGCCAAGAACCTGTGTTCCGTGTTTCGAAGCAGCTAACGTCGCAATCCGACACATGAATTTACGACAGACGGAAAAATGGTTATCTTCGCGAATACAAGAACTCAGAGTGATGTGCTCGTAGAAAAGGGAGAGAAAGGGGGTCCAGCGATAAACCAAAAGGAAATTTCAAATAAATCTGCCACAGTCAGGCCGAAGTATAGAGACGTCCAGACGCATTTGTGCGGTGAGTGGTTGGATCATCCGAGCGTTTATCTGGCACTATCTGATGCCAACCTAAAAGCGGGAACAGGTGTAGTTTGTCACTACTTGAAACTAATGTCTGTACTCAACACCGTACACTTTAGATCCACGCTGTTTTGAACAATATTTGATCGCATTCTAAGCGTAGCTCAACAACTGCGCCTTGGTCGTCAGAGTGGGCCTGGCGCATATAATATGCCAAGTGAACAAAGATGCTTAAATAACAGCAAGAGGATGGGGTTTGGAGACATGAAGCTATGATTGGTTGCGTCCTGGTTCACATGAAACCCTGTGGATAGGCGAAAGCAAGCGAGAAGTGAAATCACGAGCCCGAAATAAGGGAAAAGTAAACGTTTTTTGAATGCACAAACCTTGAGTTCTTTTTGTTCCGCACGAAGTCGGCGAATTTCGAATTTCGCTGACTCGGGTACCTACAGTGAGAGAAGAGGGCAAGACCGAAGAGGTGGGAGCGATTGGGAAAATGTTCAAAACTGATCAACGCTTCAGTTGATGCGAGCGATCTATGCAACATACAGGTTGTACACAAAAGGGAGGAATAAGATGTGCCAAAGAAACAAGCGATCGACCCCAGGCACCGGTGCCGTAAAGTGGACAGATTACTACTAAACCCGAGCGCATAAGCTTTCAGGCCAACTTGATGCAGCGAGACATCACTTAGTTAACTAGATGTACGGTTGTTTCAGTTTCAGCTCTCAGTGTTTCATTACACATTATGATATTCATATTTAGCCCTGCTAGGTTGTTTATCATCTTAGTACCGTTCACACAACTGTGCGCTTAAACCACGGAAGTCGGCAGCTTTACTCAGTTTAACTGAGTTCGTTGTGCGAAATGTTAAACTGCATGTAGCGGGGTTTTGCAGTGATTGAAAAATTCCACTAAAACGTGATCACTTTCACTGTTGACCCTCGGTGGTGTAAGCTTCCTCAAGCCTCTAGCAGCTGTGAGCACACGAAAGGTAACAACATATGGTGAGAGCCAGAGTGATGCGAGTCCTTCAAGATACAAACGTGCAGGAGAATTTTGGAGAGAGGTATAGCGCCGTCTTGCAGTGATTGAAAAATTCCTCTAAAATGTGATCTCGTTCGTCATTTGTGCTGCATTTTTGGTCCCTGAGAAGGACCTTTCATCGTTGTTGCGATGGCTACTCGTACACCTTGGTCCAAGCCCTCACATAGCCCGGATGTTTGTTCACTGGATGTCACACCCACCCCTCGCCGGTTTGTTCCATATACCCTCACCTTCGTCCAGTGGTCCACCAGTTATCCCACTACCACGTGTATGGCTTGGCAAATGTTCAGACCCCCAGGGGCTCCAACCTTTGTACGGTGGCTTACACGTTCATTCCCTCATTTGTTTGTCTCCACCGTAATCTTTGTTCCACTCACTAAATCTGACATCGTCGTGTCCATATCATTGTACTAATGTGGACGAATGCGAAGGGATTATCAGGCCACCCGTTGACCATAGACTAGGGTCTTATAAGTGTGTGTCTGACGTTCACCGATAAACTTTGCTCGCTATCAGATTGGGCGGCTGGCTTGCCGAACTACCTCCTTGTGGTGCCAGCTGGGTGGTTCGGGTGAACTCCGTTCCAGCAAACTGTTCGGCGACAATGTTGCACCTCGGTGCGGCATTGTATTCCAGCAATTGTGCTGATTTCATTGGGAATAATGGGCCCCTGTTTGGTGATCTACCAAAGACGCAGGAACTGAACATTCAGTCAGCGCCTCCCAATGGGCGCGATTCCCTAAATTCGTGCCGCTGCCTTGCGGGTAGGTTATTTAGCCAAAGTCAACTACCTACTTCGGCTTTGGCAAACGGGTAGTATCACGCCCTCTCACAAAACCATGGACTGTATTACAACGTGCTCATTAGCTACTTTTTCTGCTTCTCACACTCACGCGACTTCATCACACGCCAATGGTTTGTTTGCTAACAATCTTCACTTTCCGTTACCCGATACATGTGCTCAACAATCTGGCTGCGATTCCGGTTGCGCCGCGGACACCAAGAGGTTCAACCTATGGCTCTCCTTCGTCCCCGATCCTCGTTCCGTCTGGCCTGCTTCAACGTTCGGACACTCATGCAGATTGGACAGCAAGACGGTCTAGCGCGTACCCTAGAGTCCCTAGACATTGAAATCTGCTGCCTTTCGAGAAACTCGGTTGCAAGCCCCCCAACACGGAGCTTACATTGACATCGCCCAGTGACCACGAAGCCAGATATCATCTGCATCTTTCTGGTGATCCAGAAGCAGCCTCAGCGGGTTTGGCTGGTGTAGGTATTGTACTAAGTGGCAAGGCCGAGGCAGCACTACTGGACTGGTTCCCGATTAACAGCCGAAGGTGTGCAGTTCGGCTTCGGGGTTCATGTAGAATCAACAAGCGCTACGAAGAGAAACGCAACTTGTTTGTGATCTCCGTGTACACTCCAAACGACTTCAGTGGCGACTCAGTCAAGGACGAATTCTACCGGGATCTACAACAGGTCTTGACTAATGCTAAAAAGTCGGATGACGTTGTCCGGGTTGGCCGCCTGTTACCATACGAACGCCACCTTGATGGTCATCACGCGCTCGATGAGAACCGCTCTGATAACGTAGAACGGCTTCTCACATGGTGCGGGCAACCATGTGTTTCTCTAGAGCACTAACTTCAGGCGTACAAAGAAGCGTACCGCATCGTGGAGTCTCCCTTCTTCAACACAACCGTGGTCACAAATTGATCACATTGCAATTAGCTTCAGATGGCGCGGCAGCGTACTGGACTGCAGGTCATTTTGGTCCACCTTCGTTGACACAGATAATGCACTGGTCTGCGCGAAAATCTGTATGTGTTTTGGAGGATCCCGAAACATGAAGCATTGCAAGATTGATGTAAACAGATTAACTGATTCCTCTGTCCAGGCGAGCTATCAGTCTTCACTGGCATACGCACTCAGTTGCAATCCACTACAAGACGTGAAGCAACACCGGACTTGAATACGGAAAGCAATGACCATTTCCGGACGGTCAACCTGCGGCCTAACTCGACGCCTCCTGAAGCTTTGGATCTCTGCTCGTTCTCTGGAGCTGTTCGAAGGCCGCGAAGATATCCCAGCGGAATCCGATTGCAACAAGCGGCGCCGTTCTGCCAACCGGCTGCTCAAGCAAAGCCTATGCAAGGATCGCGAGACATGGTGATCTGAGAGTGCTTTAGAGATGGAGACCGCTGCCCTCTCTGGCAACATTCGCAGGCTTTTCCAACTCATTCGGTCCACTGGCCTCAGGAAGCCCGGTGTCAATGAGGTCATGTGTGAGGTGGATGAGTCTCCGATCACCAACCAACAGAGGCGTATGGACCGCTGGGCCGAGCACTACCAGTTGCAGTTCAACTGGCCTCCACCGTCCATCAGTACATGCGGTACACCTTGTGGTCCACCCTAGCTCGTCTCACGTAATCCACCCTGCGAAGCTGAAGTCTGCGTCGAGATCTGACGCCTGAAGCGCTTCAAGTCTGCCGGCTCAGACGGACTTCCTCCGGAGTTGTTCAAGTACGGCGGTGTGGCGATCATTAATCAGCCGACGGCGCTGTTCGCAAAAATCTAGCATGAAGAGAAAGTGCCTTCCTCTTGGGGCGAATCAGTTATTGTCCCGATTTTCAAGAAAGAGGCTCGCACTTCATGTGTAAATCATCGCGGGATCAGTCTTATTTAGGTTGCCTCCAAGCTATTGGCATCCATTCTGTTTCGTAGACTATCCGCAGTACGTGAATCATACTACCGTGAAAAACAAGCTGGTATTCGTCCCGGCTGCGAATGCGTGAATCAAAGCTTCATGCTCCGCCAGGTCCTCGAACATCGACACATTCATCACAGGCACACTATCGGTGCGTTCCTAAACATACGTGATCAACCTGCTTTAGGGCGTTACTTGCTAAAGAACGGGGTGCCAGAGAAATATACCGCCATCTTAGGAGCACTTTACCTTCATACATCCGGCAGACTGAGGGTATATGGAAAGCTTTCCTCGCCATTCGCTGTCAATAGCGGTGTGCGAAAGGGTTGCCCTATGTCCCCAAGGGCGAGCGCACGACCGACTTCGAGTATGCTAATGAGATCGCCTTACTTGGTGACGATCCTCAGGGTATACAACTCATTCTGGGTCGTTTGGCGGTTGAAGCATCTAAGTAGGACATGAGCTCCGCACCATCGAAGTGTAAAGTACTGGTTAAGGATTGGCTTTCACCTGCTCCCGGGCTCCCGAGTACTCAGGCATGCCGATAGCCAAGCTAGTAATGGGTCCCGGATATCAAAGCCCACTAGCCATTTTAACAAACCACTTGTGAAGTATCCCGGTGCAATACTTAGTGTGTGTCGGGATTGATAGCTACTGAAAAGCGATTTAGATAACGGTTGCTATCATGTGAAACCAGCTTACACCACAAATCCGCGGTAATCGTTTGTAACAGCGGGTACTGGTTCATTCGTCCGGTCGGTTGATGATCCCACAGATCCACTATACACTGACCTGGTGTTGTCTCAAGGTCAGTAGTATTACGGGCGATTATGAACCTGAGCACAAGTAGGTCAGATCAGATCACTAGCATACAGAGGCGCGAGATGTGACAGGTGGCGGCATTTTTAGTACCGTCGATTGTTCGATACCAAATATAAAGGGCCAAATAACCCGATAAGCTGAGGGTTGATTTTAATGTTACTCTGTATGGACAACGGCACATTTGCGCCATGTGTCACAACTGTGTAAACGTTCTTCCAAGCAATCCCCTTAATTGTCCCATTGCGGTCACTTTCAGCACATTTACCAGTGCCCCAAACGATTATCCAGTCAATCGGAAACTAAGGTGCACTTTACCCTGAGCCGATCGTGTGGCATTCACACGCCTATTCTGCTCTCAGCCAGGGGGAAAATTTTACCACCATCCAGAGCGACAAAAGTAGTTGCTACGCCAATGCGAGTGTAGTAGAAACTTTTAGAGGGTGTACACAATTGCACCCCGATGCGCTAATGCACATCGGGTGTATTGAGAAAACTTTCATCGTTGTTATCCATAGTGCGAACGGATTAGCTTGGAATGATTCAGTCAAGCGCAACGGCAGCCTTTCGGGTGCACAGAAGACGTGTTGACATTCGAGTTCATTGAGTTGTAGAAAGCAGGAAGGAAATTCCTTGTCAGCCCATCAACTCCGTATCATACTGGGTTTGATGCGTGCCGTTGCGTTACGAGGTTCCTCGAGTGTTCGTCGCTGTGACACTAGTGCGGCATAAGTTGCGTCGGATCGTTATTGCACCGTTGGTATGCATTCGAGTAGTGTTACTAAAATTTATGGCGATTGGTGCGTTGGCCGATCTGTCAAGATGCCAGGGTATTCGACAGCCGCACACATTAAACAGGTTGACAGGCGGTAG